TGCCAGATGCTGAACAATGAGTTCAGCTTCATGAGTGAGAACCACTTGTCTGAAGTGTGATAATGCTCTACAGTAATACAAGCAAGATAAGGAAAATGTGCAGGCGCTAATTAAGTAGACTCTCTATCTTCCTCCTCCTCCTCTCTGCAGGTTTACTCCCTCTAATAACCAACAATACAACCCTTGTTTCCTCAGAGAGAGAGAGAGAGGCCTTTTCTTTAATCCCTGCCTCTGGATGAAAGCAGTGGAGGAAGATGATTATCATAAACTGCAGAGTTTTATCTGTGAGGGCGGCTGGTCGTCTCCTCTGATGGGTCGTTTGGATCCTGTCCCTGCTTGATGACATCAGCAGCGGGATTGACAATAAAAGGCAATGGAGTTTGTTAAGGGCCTCGGTGCAGCCAGCAGACAGGCCGCAAATCAGTGGAGGGGTTTATGATGATTGGGCAGACACGACTGCGCGCACACACTCCATGACCCCTACACACACTCTCTCTCTCTCTCACACACACACACACAGACAAAAAATCTGACACACACAAATTTACAAGCCAGTCATGTGTATTTAAACCTGAGGTGCAAATATACGCCTCCTTTGAATCTCTCATAGACGCTGTCGCCGGTGACGATACTGCCAACACTTTACCGTGAACTCAGCACAGTGAATCTGCCTTAATGGGAGTTCTGCAGTGGAATTAAAACAGTCTTTAGCCAAAACAACACAAAACAGACAACACGGTTGATAATAACCTACAATTAGCTAAAAATATACAGATGTGCAGTCTCGTCAGATGTTTAGTTCCAGTTAGCGTTTAGCCAGCGTTTAACCTTTGAAGGAATCTGTGTCTGGAGTTGTTTTGATTTCAGTTGCTAATGTGTTCCAGAGCTGACAGCTCTTTGTGGAGAAAGCTGATTGTCCAAATTTAGATCAATGATGTGATATGTTACAGTTGCCATTCACCACACTCTTAGTTTCTCTGTTACTGTCTCGCCTTTGGATATATCTGGAGAGACTCTGGGGCTAAACTGTTGAAGATGAATGAAGTAGATTGTGTCTTCTCGGTATGTGTTTTCCATTGCCTGATTGGCTGGCCGTTATACTGGGAACTCGCTGTCTCAACTGTCCACAGTAGATGGTATGCCCATGTTATTCCTCAGCAGAGGAGCTGAGGTGGTGAGAGAGATGGGTTAGAGCCCATTATAACTGCACCATTGTCTGTCTGTGGCTAATACATCCTGTGCACTTCAACAAACTTTCTATCTTTTAAGAAAATCACTTTTACCAACACTCGAAAGAAATAAGAGCATAGATAGATATACACTGTATTTATCCCCTAGGGGAAATTTCATGTAACATGCATGAGAAGATAAATGTGTGCATCAAATCTAAGAGACACAGACACTGAGCTGCATTCAAAATAAATGACATGACAATGACATTTATCTCGGGAGGGAATTTTGTTCTCAAAATCTGCACATGTTCATGTCTCACAAGGACAACTATTGTAGACATATGGTCATATAAACTTAGTACATACATACGTCTTGGCCTCCAATGCAACAGTAAGAAACCTTGGAGTCTCCAAGTGCTGCTCGTTGTGTGAGCTGTTCGGTTTCTCTCTATAATTTTGCAAGCTATTGACCTTACTCTGTAAAGTGCCTTGAGATGATTCGTAAAAAATAAAATTGAATTGAATTGAATTATACATATTACGTATATACAGACACATCTACACCTGGTATTCATCAAGGTATTTCATATAGGGCTGCTTTGCTGAAGCAGGTTCTCCTCCATTTAACTTGTAACACTCGTCCAGCTGTTTCAGGTGTGTTAGGTGGGAAATAGTTTTAACATATTTCAGTTTTAATAGCAGTATTTCAACAAACATGCTGCTAATACTGTTTTATTATTGGGCCACAACAGCATGAAAATGTGATACGAGCACATGGGTAGTTTCAAGTGTGTGTATGTGTTTGCGTCTTGGACAGCATCTGTCCTCAGGAATGATACTGTGGAGTCAGTGAATATTCTCCTCCAGGCCTCGGACTACTTTTTATCACTCCCTCTCTCCTCCTCTTTGATCCCCTCTCATCCGTCTTACTACTTTTTGCCCTCGCCTTTCTCATTCTTGCACTTCACATCCTCTGCATATTCACACAGGCCTATCGCTACATCTCTTTGACTGCACCCCCACCCCCCCCTGTCTCTGTCTGTATTTGTCTCATGTTTAACTCCACAGTTTGACCTCCAACTCCTCTGTAAGATGTCCCACCGGCTGCTTAAGTATTCTGCAAACAGCAGCATGTGTTATTGCTCCCCTTTACTTTGCGAGACAGCAGGAATTTTCCATAGTTCTGGTCTCCCTATAAAACTGCTCGGCCCTGACAGATTGTGTTGATGAATCAGCCCATGTCTGCCTCATATTGGAGTGCTTTTCTCTGCGGCTCCTGACTGCCGTCTACAAGTCGTACAACTCCCTCTTTGTGCATTTATCCTCACAACTGTCCTTTATAAGTGAAATACACTTTGCAAAAATGGAAATTCAACATCTGAAAAAAAAAAATCTAGTGGTGTTGAGTCATTTGCTTTTCAGTGGACTGGACTGGATCAAAATTACGTAGCCATGCAGACAGGTTTTGAAGTGGTCGGACCTTTTTGATGCACCTATCTGGCAGCTGCTGGCAGTCTGGTATTCAGAGTGTAGTCAGCCTTTTCTGGAATATTGCAGAGTAAAATTAGATCTGTAATTGGAAATTTCATCTTCCTTCAACCAACTCATATGTACCATGAATTTTTCTGTCATTTAAGAAGAGAGCTCCACTCGATTCTTGTTTTCCTGAAGCTCTAGAGCAGCAGAAGTGTGGCAGCTTTAGCCCTTCTTTGCTTTTTTTTTTCATGATATAATATTGGGTAGGCATTAATAGATAAATACATCGGTAGCCAATCTGTGTGCGTGCCGATCATCTGGTGAGCTGCAGTGCATGAAAAAGTCAAGTAATAGCTGTCTCCTATTGTTGACTTATCTAAGTAGCAGTTTGTCATGGTGTTTCATCTCATACTAGTTGAATACTGGACTATGATGAAGCATTGAGTGGTGTCAGTTTGGTGTCTGTCAGCTCCTTAAGATGTAAAATGGTTCCAGTTTTCTCTCTCTGTGCCAGTCGTGCCGATTGTTGTAGTTGGGATTAAAATTTTCTCCAGCACATGGTTCATTAACGCCATGTTTTCATCTCTGTGACTGCTGTAGGCTAGGCAACAGTCAAAACCCAGAATGCAGCTCTCACAGCTCATGTCCCAGTGCGTTTGTCTGGTTTACCGTCATTAACGTTTGCATTTCATGCTGTGAATCCTTTTTTTTTTTTTTTTTAAATAAGATTTTAGGATTTTGTTTGGACATAAATGTGGCAGCTTTGCAAGGCAACGTATTTTTTGAGGGACGACTAATCTGTGTTGTAATTCTCGTGACTGTCATGTGAATTTAGGTATTTAATGTTCTTTACCTATTCCAGTTCACAGGTAACTGTTCAGGTGCTGCTAATATGAAATTATGGCTTGAATAATGCAGATAGTGAACATTTAATGATTTCACATTCAGCACTTTCAAGGAAAGAAACTATAACAAGAAAATAAATAATGCCTGTCTAGTGGTAATAATTATATAAAGGTAATACAGGGTATATGTCACAGGTAGGGACGCTCGTTAACAGACACGATTAAAATGTACTATTTAGTATAGATGAGTGTCTGTTACCCATTTAAAAAATACTAATACATAGGGGTTAAAGTGGAGACACAGAGGCAGGAGAGAAACTCCTTCCGGCAGATCATTACACAAAGCGATGGTCCTTTTAACTTCATTGTTGCAGAAGAAGCGACGACCCACTTATCCAGGAACACATAAAAAGCTCTATGTTATAAATTCATGAGGTTATTCTAGAGATCAGCTCTACCTGTGATTTAAAAAAAAAAAAAAAAAGAGAGCACAGGAGCAGAATCGCTTGTTGACTGGTTCTGGTGTGAACAGCCGGGCTACTGCTCGCACAACAGAGTCAGACTGGCATTAAACTTCAAAATATAATAAACAAGCCAGCTCTACATCTGTCTTCAGCACAGCGGACGGCTTATCTACTTGTTTTTATCATATTTATTTATATATCTGGTCTACAGTCTGTTAACTGTCAGAATACTTGATGGTACAGATTTCCCGGGATATTTTAACAGTTTAACTGATTTTATTAATCGGTCAAATTCCTTTTGTCGGTTAACGGTTAATTACGAACAACCCTGGTCACAGGATAACTTGAGTTGTAAAATGTAAATTTAACAGTTGCACAACATTCATCCAACCACCATTTCCAGCTCTGAGCATATCACTGTACCCAGTTAGTTCAGCAGCAGAATAACCTCGGTGTCCTTTTATCTCCCTGATTGGCGTTCTGAGAAAAGAACAAGGGCTGCAGCAGATTTTTCTGGGCCTTCATCTGTCAGACGAGGGCAATAACTTGTGTAATCTCAAAACGAACATGTCCATTCCCCAACATCAGTCTGTATAAATTAGACGCCAGTCATGATAATAGAAATCCAACCCTGACTGTGTACTTTGGTCTCTCGCTCTGCTCAGTTGATGCAGTTTGACCTCCAAGCTTTTCTTGTACACATCTCAGTGGTATTCGGCAACATTTCATATTACCGCAGCACAGTTTGAAGGGAGGTTTTGCATATATTAGGCTTCCAGTCTCCTTCATAAATCTGTTTCGGCTCTGACACTGTGTGGCCATCATTTAGCAATCGTCTGTCTCCTGACATCTCACTCTGCCTTATTTGCCTTCAGCCTTCATTTGTTTTTGGTCGTCGGCAGCTGTTTTATGCTTGTTCCTGTCAGCTGTAAGAGGAGAACATTGGATGGACTGCTGAATATGCCAAGTGAACACAAAAAGAAAAAAGGGGGGAGTGTTAAAGTTAACCCTCTCTCTCTCTCTCTCTCTCTCTGTCTTTCCAGGTATTCAAGCTGAAGGCGGTCCAGCTAGCCGAGAAGCTGCTCCCTGCCTTTAACACCCCCACAGGGATCCCCTGGGCCATGGTCAACCTTAAGAGGTTAGTGACTCTGCCACTGAAAACCAGTAGACAACCTGAGACAAATACAAATCCAGAGCCTGACTCTGTGCGTGATTTGAATTTCAGAGGAATATATATGAGGAGTTTGTCTGGAACAATTTGTTTTTCTCTTTTAACCCAAAGTTTTTTCAATGGTCTGAAAATCAAAATTTTACAGCTGCAGAAATATTGAAATGTCTGAAATACACTTGTTAAAAAAGACAGTTTTCATAATACAATTTTATATTCATTTATTTATTTCAAACCAGAAAAACATTCTTATACTGACTGTGCATCTGCCTCACAAATAGTCATTTGAACTCTTAATTCTTTATCTTACTATACTGCTAGTTTCCACTTAAACTGCTGTGAAATCTCACATTCTCTGGTTTTTAAAACTGGTCTCAAAGCCACGTTAAACCTGAACACTAGTGAAGAGCTAAATAATATCATCTGAAATCAATATCAATATTAATTGTCACGTTTACCTGGGTTCTTTGTACTAAACAATTTTTTTTTAGTAAAATGGCCTCCGCTTTAGCATTGTCTCGAAAACATGAGATGAAATAATATTGTGAATAGAGTTTGACTTTTACAGTGTGAAGTGAGATTATTCTAACAAACGCTTTTGTAAAAGACTGTTGCATTTGAATCGACTACTTCGGTGGCCATCTTAACCTCCGTTAACCTCCGTCACTATACTCGGTTGCTGGTAAACAAAATCAGTTCTTCAGAAGCAACGGCATTTACTCTCCGTAGACCGAACACAGAAGGTTAATTAAGTATCTTAAAACTACCAGCCAAAGAACACGAAGAACAGCCCACATATCAAACTGCGACAGGTTGTGAACTGAGGCCTCTAACGATGGACGAGTTGTTGTACTTTCAAGGGGAAAAGCGGCAGCCAACATGCAGAAGTTATTTTACCATTAACATAATCACAATGTCAGTTTTGACAACGTTTCGATTAATTAACCAGCCGTGCAGTTCATTTCTTCATCATTATTGATTCTGATTAAAACCTTGTTAAGTGCTAAAATGTAGTACATTATAAATCCTTCTTATCTGCCTACATGGCTCTCTAATGCGCACGCACACACACACACACACACACACACACACACACACACACACACACACTGAATGTTTGTCTCATAATATCTGTAAGGATCTTTAATTAACTCTGAAGGTCTGAAAGTAAGTCAGGAGCAGCAGTACAAACACACACACACACACACACACACACACACACACACACAGAGGAGTCATAGCAAAGATGCATTATGATCCAAGTTTCCTTCAAATCCTTTGTTTTATCATTTTATGGAGAAAAGTCAAAGGTATTTAATGTTGTTAAATGTGTTTGAGTGAATATTGTTGGGGAGGTCTTCAAACTGCCCTGGCGACACTGTGGGGGGGGGGGGGGGGGTGTCAAACTTGATTAACTGAAATATCTGTCTATACGTGTGTGTGTGTGTGTGTGTGTGTGTGTGTGTGTGTGTGTGTGTGTGAGAGATAGAGAGAGAGAAGAGCCTTGAGGGCAATTTTTGGATCCTGTGTAAATGTGTTTCTGCACAAACGTGTGAGAGAAGTGTTAAATCCAACTTTTAGAAACCTGTCGTCACCTGCCAACCTTCTGCTTCTAACAGTGGCTTTCCTGTTGTAGCTGCAGCTTGAAGTGCAGCGTTACCCCCCCCCCGAGGGGGGGGGGGGGGGGGGGGGGGGGGGGTAGAAACAGACATGCCCTCAAGGCTCTTCTCTCTCTCTATCTCTCACACACACACACACACACACACACACACACACACACACACACACACACACACACACGTATAGACATATATTTTCAGTTAATCAAGTTTGACACCCCCCCCCCCCCCCCAACAGTGTGCCAGGGCAGTTTGAAGACCTCCCCAACAATATTCACTCAAACACATTTAACAACATTAAATACCTTGACTTTTCTCCATAAAATGATAAAACAAAGGATTTGAAGGAAACTTGGATCATAATGCATCTTTGCTATGACTCCTCTGTGTTTGGTGTGTGTGTGTGTGTGTGTGTTGTTGTGTGTTTGTACTGCTGCTCCTGACTTACTTTCAGACCTTCAGAGTTAATTAAAGATCCTTACAGATATTATGAGACAAACATTCAGTGTGTGTGGTGTGTGTGTGTGCGTGTGTGTGTGTGCGTGTGTGTGTGCGTGCGCATTAGAGAGCCATGTAGGCAGATAAGAAGGATTTATAATGTACTACATTTTAGCACTTAACAAGGTTTTAATCAGAATCAATAATGATGAAGAAAATGAACTGCACGGCTGGTTAAATTAATCGAAACTTGTACAAAACTGACATTGTGATTATGTTAATGGTAAATAACTTCTGCATGTTGGCTGCCGCTTTTCCCCTTTGAAAGTACAACAACTCGTCCATCGTTAGATGGCCTCAGTTCACAACCTGTCGCAGTTTGATATGTGGGGCTGTTCTTCGTGTTCTTTGGCTGGTAGTTTTAAGATACTTAATTAACCTTCTGTGTTCAGTCTACGGAGAGTAAATTCCGTTGCTTCTGAAGAACTGATTTGTTTACCAGCAACCGAGTATTAGTGACGGAGGTTAACGGAGGTTAAGATGCTCACGAAGTAGTCGATTCAAAAATGACAGTCTATTTACAAAAGCGTTTGTTAGAATAATCTCACTTTCACACTGTAAAAGTCAAACTTCTATTCACAATATTATTTCATCTCATGTTTTCGAGACAATGCTAAAGGCGGAGGCCATTTTACTTTTTAAAAAAAAATTGTTTAGTACAAAGAACCCAGGTAAACGTGACAATTAATATTGATATTTTGATTTCAGATGATATTGGTTAGCTCTTCACTAGTGTTCAGGTTTAACGTGGCTTTGAGACCAGTTTTAAAACCAGAGAATGTGAGATTTCACAGCAAGTTTAAGTGGAAACTAGCAGTAGTAAGTAAAGAATAAGAGTTCAAATGACTATTTGTGAGGCAGATGCACAGTCAGTATAAGAATGTTTTTCTGGTTTGAAATAAATAAAATGAATATAAGATATTGTATTATGAAAACTGTCTTTTTTAACAAGTGTATTTTCAGACATTTCAATATTTCTGCAGCTGTAAAATTTGATTTCAGACCATTGAAAAAAACGTTTGGGTTAAAAGAGGAAAAACAAATTGTTCCAGACAAACTCCTCATCTATATTCCTCTGAAATTCAAATCACGGCACAGAGTCAGGCTCTGGATTTGTATTTTGTTCTCAGGTTGTCTACTGGTTTTCAGTGGCAGAGTCACTTAACCTCTTAAGGTTGACCATGGCCCAGGGGATCCCTGTGGGGGTGTTAAAGGCAGGAGCAGCTTTCTCGGCTAGCTGGACCGCCTTCAGCTTGAATACCTGGAAAGAAGAGAGAGAGAGAGAGAAGAGAGGGTTAACTTTAACACTCCCCCCTTTTTTCTTTTTGTGTTCACTTGCATATTCAGCAGTCCATCAATGTTCTCCTACAGCTGACAGGAACAAGCATAAAAACAGCTGCCGACGACCAAAAAACAAATGAAGGCTGAAGGCAAATAAGGCAGAGTGAGATGTCAGGAGACAGACGATTGCAAATGATGGCCACACAGTGTCAGAGCCGACGAAACAGATTTATGAAGGAGACTGAAGCCTAATATATGCAAAACCTCCCTTTCAAACTGTGCTGCGGTAATATTGAAATGTTGCCGAAACCACTGAGATGGTGTACAAGAAAGCTTGGAGGTCAAACTGCATCAACTGAGCAGAGCGAGAGACCAAAGTACACAGTCAGGGTTGGATTTTCTATTATCATGACTGGCGTCTAATTTATACAGACTATGTTTGGGGAATGACATGTTCGTTTTGAGATTAACACAAGTTATTGCCCTCGTTGACAGATGAAGGCCCAGAAAAATCTGCGAAGCCCTTGTCTTTTCTCAGAACGCCAATCAGGGAGATAAAGGACACCGAGGTTATTCTGCTGCTTGAACTAACTGGGTACAGTGATATGCTCAGAGCTGGAAATGTGGTTGATGAATGTTGTGCAACTGTTAAATTTACATTTTACAAAACTCAAGTTATCCTGTGACTAGGGTTGTTCGTAATTAACGCGTTAACCACAAAAGGAAATTTGACCGATTAATAAAATCAGTTAAACTGTTAAAATATCGGAAATCTGTACCATCAAGTATTCTGACAGTTAACAGGACTGTACACCAGATATATATAATAAATATGATAAAAACAAGTAGATAAGCCGTCCGCCTGTGCTGAAGAAGATGTAGAGCTGGCTGTGTTATTATATTTTTGAAGTTTAATGCCAGTCTGACTCTGTTGTGCGAGCAGTAGCCCGGTGTTCACACCGAACCAGTCAACAAGCGATTCTGCTCCTGTGCTCTCTTTTTTTTTTTTTTTTAATCACAGGTAGAGCTCATCTCTAGAATAACCTCATGAATTTTATAACATAGAGCTTTTTATGTGTTCCTGGATAAGTGGGTCGTCGCTTCTTCTGCAACAATGAAGTTAAAAGGACCATCGCTTTGTGAATGATCTGCCGGAAGGAGTTTCTCTCCTGCCTCTGTGTCTCCACTTTAACCCTATGTATTAGTATTTTTTAAATGGGTAACAGACCACTCATCTATACTAAATGTACATTTTAATCTTGTCTGTTAACGAGCGTCCCTACCTGTGACATATTACCCTGTATTACCTTATATTATATATACCACTAGACAGGCATTATTTTATTTCTTGTTATAGTTTCTTTCTTGAAAGTGCTGAATGTAAAATCATTAAATGTTCACATCTGCATTATTCAAGCCATAATTTCAGATTAGCAGCACCTGAACAGTTACCTTTGAACTGGAATAGGTAAAGAACATAAAATACCTAAATTCACATGACAGTCACGAGAATTACAACACAGATTAGTCGTCCCTCAAAAAAAACGTTGCTTGCAAAGCTGCCACATTTATGTCCAAACAAAATCCTAAAATCTTATTTAAAAAAAAAAAAAAAAGGATTCACAGCATGAAATGCAACGTTAATGACGGTAACCAGACAAACGCACCTGGGACATGAGCTGTGAGAGCTGCATTCTGGGTTTTTGACTGTTGCCTAGCCTACAGCAGTCACAGAGATTGAAAACATGGCGTATGAACCATGTGCTGGAGAAAATTTTAATCCCAACTACAACAATCGGCACGACTGGGCCAGAGAGAGAAAACTGGAACCATTTTACATCTTAAGGAGCTGACAGGCACCAAACTGACACCCACTCAATGCTTTATCATAGTCCAGTATTCAACTAGTATGAGATGAAACACCATGACAAACTGCTACTTAGATAAGTCAACAATAGGAACAGCTATTACTTGACTTTTCAAGCATGCAGCTCACCAGTATGATCGGCACGCACACAGATTGGCTACCGATGTATATTATCTATTAATGCCTACCCAATATTATATCATGAAAAAAAAAGCAAAGAAGTGGCTAAGCTGCCCACTTCTGCTGCTCTAGAGCTTCAGGAAAACAAGAATCGAGTGGAGCTCTCTCTAAATGACAGAAAAATTCATGTACAATGAGTGAGTTGGTTGAAGGAAGATGAAATTTCCAATCAGATCTAATTTTACTCTGCAATATTCCAGAAAAGGCTGACTACACCTTGAATACCAGACTGCCAGCAGCTGCCAGATAGGTGCATCAAAAAGGTCCGACCACCTTCAAAACCTGTCTGCATGGTACGTAATTTGATCCAGTGCCAGTCCACGAAAAGCCAAATGACTCAACACCACTAGATTTTTTTTTGTCAGAATGTTGGAATTTCCATTTTTGCAAAGTGTATTTCACTTATAAAGACAGTTGTGAGGATAATGCAACAAAGAGGAGTTGTACGACTTGTAGACGGCAGTCAGGAGCCGCAAAGAAAAAGCACTCCAATATGAGGCAGACATGGGCTGATTCAAACACAATCTGTCAGGCCGGCACAGTTTTATAGGAGAGACCAGAACTATGGATAATGTCCTGCGTCTCGACAAAGTAAAGGGAGCAATAACACATGCTGCTGTTTGCGAATACTTAAAGCAGCCGGTGGGGACATCTTACAGAGGAGTTGGAGGTCAAACTGTGGAGTAAACATGAGGACAATACAGACAGAAGACAGGGGGGTGGGGGTGCAGTCCAAGAGATGTAGCGATAGGCCTGTTGAATATGCAGAGGATGTGAAGTGCAAGAATTTGAGAAAGAGCGAGGGCAAAAAGTAGTAAGACGGATGAGAGGGATCAAGAGGAGGAGAGGGGAGTGATAAAAAGTAGTCGAGGCCTGGAGGAGAATATTCACTGCTCCACAGTATCATTCCTGAGGACAGATGCTGTCCAAGACGCAAACACATACACACACTTTGAAACTACCCATGTGCTCGTATCACATTTTCATGCTGTGTGGCCCAATAATAAAACCAGATAGCAAGCATGTTTTGAAATACTTGCTATGTAAAACTGAAATATGTTAAAACTATTTCCCACCTAACACAACGTGAACGAGCTGGGACGAGTGTTACAAGTAAATGGAGGAGAACCTGCTTCAGCAAAGCAGCCCCTATATGAAAATACCTTGATGAATACCAGGTTAGATGTGGTCTGTATATTACGTATATGTATATTCAAATTCAATTCAATTTTATTTTTACGAATCATCTCAAGGCACTTTACAGAGAGGTCAATAGCTTGCAAAAATTATAGAGAAGAAACCGACAAGCCTCACACAACGAGCAGCACGTTGGAGGCTCCAACAGGTTTCTACTGTTTGCATTGGAGCAAGACGTAATTATGTGTAAGTTTATATGACCATATGTCTACAATAGTTTGTCTTGTGAGACATGAACATGTGCAGATTTTGAGAACAAATCTCCTCCGAGAATAAATGTCATTGTCATGTCATTTATTTTTGAATGCAGCTCAGTGTCTGTGCCTCTTAGATTTGATGCACCATTTATTTCTCATGCTTTACATGAAATTTCCCCCTAGGGGATAAATACAGTGTATATCTATCTATCCTCTTATTTCTTTCGGAGTTTGGTAAAAGTGATTTTTTCTAAATAGATAGAAGTTTTGTGAGGTGCACAGGATTATTAGCCACAAGACAAGACAAATGTATGGCAGTTATAATGGGCTCTAACCATCTCTCTCACCACTCAGCTCCTCTGCTGAGGAATAACATGGGCATACCATCTACCGTGACAGTTTGAGAACAGCGAGTTCCCAGTTATAACGGGCCAGCACAATCAGGCAATGGAAAACACAATACACCGAGAAGACACAAATCTACTTCATTCATCTTCAAAGTTTAAGCCCCAGAGGTCTTCTCCAGAATAATCCAAGGCGAGACAGTAACAAGAGAAACTAAAGAAGTGTGAGTGAATGGCAAACTGTAACATATCACAGTCATTGATCTAAATTGTGACATCAGCTTCTCCACAAAAGACTGTCGTCTGGAACACATTAGCAACTGAAATCAAAAACAACTCGGGACACAGATTCCTTCAAAGGTTAAATGCTGGCTAAACGCTAACTTGGAACTAAACATCTGACCAGACTGCAACATTTGTATATTTTTAGCTAATGGTGTAGTTATTATCAACCGTGTTTGTCCTGTTTTGTGTTGTTTTGGCTAAAGACTGTTTTAATTCCACTGCCAGAACCCCATTAAAGGCGATGTCAGCTGTGCTGAGTTC